GTGTAGCATGGCTCTGCAGAATGGCCCGTGAAGGCCGCCATGGGTAACTCCAGCTCTGATGGCCCTTCTGGTTGTGGAAGAAAGTCTTCTTGGTAATGAAATTGTTCTTGATATGCCCAGGGGTCAGATTGTACTCCGTAGTAAGGGGGTTGGTACTGGAACCCGAATCCATAGTCTTCTCCTCCTTGATTGCTCCAGGGTGTCTCAGGGTAATACCACTCGAATGGTGGTGGATACCCCCCATGATTGGAGAAGCCATGAGGATCCATGATTCAAATCTGCACCAACAGAAACAAAAACACCCAAGTGAAAAGCAAGGGTGGAAAAGAAAAGAAAAGAAAAACGCTAAAGTAACAAACTTCTGCCTTTCCTAATACTCTAGAAAGTCCCCGGCAACGGCGCCAAAAACTTGACTCCTTAAAACACAACTCCTAACAATGGCCAAGTGTAACCAATGAAAGGGACTGCAGTATAGTGGCTCAAGTAATAAATATCGAATCCACGGGTCTCTAGAGTTACTATTACTCAGCTTCAGTTCATTATCTAGCAAAACAGATTAAGATGAAAGAACTAAAACTACTCTAGCAAACTACAGTTAAAGTTAATCTAATTACAGGTTGGGAACTCACTTAGGTATGATTCCCCCTAGCCACTAGCCAGATTAACGATCGATGATTTCTAACTTGTTTCACTTCATTCACAATGCGGAGAATCCTTGACTTGACCTTGAGTCTCGACTAAAGGAACAAGGCCCTCTTGAGTCAATTGCCTAGAGGGACGTATCCTTCTCTAGAACAATCGATCAAGGCGTTCTGAACTAGACTCCCTTTATCGAATGAGGTTCTCAATCGATACAAAGCAGTGAATAAACCCTCGACTAAAGCAATCGATCCACTACTATCAATCTATGGTGCTCTATTGACCTAATCAGGTATTCGCTCTCATAGGATCAAAGCAGAATCAATAATCTCGACTAAAGCAGAATTGAATCGTGAAAACATGCATAGATTGAATATGAACTCAAGATTATCAAGTCAGAGTACTCATACAATCATCCAATCAAACAAACATGGCTAGGGTTCCTCAAAACCTAAGTGAAGGGAAGTTACTCCATAGAGAAGAGAGAGACTGCAGTAAGAATCTTCAGATGATCAGTCTTCAAGTCCGGGCTTGTTCCTCGAGCTTCCAAGGCGAAGAAATCCTCCAATTCCACTCCAAGAATGCCCTCAAATCGCTCTCTCTCTCTTTGGTTCGTCCCTAGGGTGTTTGGGATCCAAAACCCAGCTCTCCCTCTCCAAAAATCGCAAAACAGCTTTTATACCCGCTGAAACTCGCACCCCCTACTTGCACGGCCGTGCAAATTGAGGTTCTGGCCGTGCACAATTTTCAGCATGCACTCCTAAGCTTCGTTGATCTCGTTTGAGCTCGTTTGACCTCCGATTCATTCGCCTTTTGATCCCAGACGCTCGTAGTCTCGTCCTCTTTCTTTTCATAACAAGCTTGCATGATTCTTTGTCCATAAAGTGAGGTATAAATCCATTCTTCTTCAGGTCATGCCCGAGTTTCTTCTCTCGAATCATCAATTGATCTCTGATTGACTTGAAACTTGCGCCTATGCTTCACTTTATGTGCTAGGACCTGAAATGTGACAAAGGAACACAACCTAGCATAAAATAGGCCAAAGAAGTGATAATTCAAGCTCAAACAATCAATAAACAAAGGGGAAAACATGTGCAAATACCGAGTCATCACCCATCTCAGTGTGTTTTGTTTTTCGTTTTAGACTTTTGTGTGTTTGCTCCATGTGTGAGGAGCTTGAACTTAGTGTCGTTTGTTTTTGTTTTTGGTTTTCTTTTGTGGTTTGTTTATGATGTAGCCGTCTGGGCTAACACTTATCCCTAACGCACAGTGTGCTAGTGTGTTTTTGGTGTTCGATTCGTGCAGAACTGTCCATTCTCCCGTTTGTTTCTCGCTGACTGGTCCACTTCCAGTCCCCCAGCAGTGTTTCAATCCGGTAACATCGTTCCCCTTATCTCTCCCTCTACTTCATTGAGGGCAATGTCGTGCTTAAGTGTGGGGGGGTGATTTGTATCGGTTGGAATATATATTTGGGTGCTTGGAGCCTAGTCCGCTGTCCGAATCTTACGATTTGAGGGCTCCAAGTACTGCTGTTTGATCATATTGGCACTGTGTTGTGATTGATGAATTGAATGGTTTTCGGATTAATGCATGACAACTTGTTGGTGACTAGGACAACCTATTATGAGGACTGAGATGTGCAGTAGAACGATGTAGGGGTTCAGTTTTTCAACTGTTTGCTTACCAACTGTGACTTGATCTGATTACTTGTTCTTGACAGTCGTTTATGCATCTAGTTCAGGGTATCAGAATGTGAGATAGAGCATATAGGTAACCATGTGAGATTTGAGCCTGCTCGTTTCTTTCTTGTGCGATAGATCCCTCTTCCATGATGTGTAGCATTCACGTTGTCACTAGCTAAGATGATGGGGGCATAGGATTAGCCCACGCCCAAAACTGACTGTCCTGATGTGTCATATCCCCTAGTCAGCCCCTTTGAGCCGTGTGTTATCCTTTCTTTTGGTCTATAACGGAAAAAAATCACCCTTGTTGCATCTTTTAGAAGGTTCCACGGAGTGGGTTTTATATATTCTCTGCTGTTTCTGCTAAAGTTTATGTGAGTGTTGGAGGTAGTGCTTAAAAGTTGGGCAGGGGTTTGAAATATGTGCAGAAGTGGTGGCTCTCTTAAGAAATGAAAAGAAAAATGAAAGTAAAACAAAGAAAAATTGAAAGCAAAAGAGAGCCACTACCAAAAATCGTGATTAATGCCCAGTAAGTAGTGTTTCTTAGCAGTCTGGCTTGGAAAGGCTGATGTTTATGCCTCCTTCGCTCTTATGCTCTTGAGATGTTGAGTATTGCAGAATAGCAGAAAGGGAATACCGGTTTGTTTGACGGTGATTGTGTGGGTTTGGAAATGTGGAACCTTGTGCTATGAATACTTCCACCACTTAAAAGGCCTTTTCCCCATGTCCAAGACCCTAGCCAGTCATTTGAACCTGTGTCTAAGACCTCCGGATTAGTTAGTGGTGACACCCCATATGTGAACTCTAGCATTTAGAGGCTGCCATCGTGGTGAAGAGATGATAGGGATTGAGAGAAATAGCATGCGCATTTTTCGCATCAAATTGTCCTGACCCCACTGGTCGAGAGTGAGTGATTCATTTTCATATTCTTTATACTCTTGTACCCCGGTGAGGACCTAGATTGCTCGGTCTCTGTTCTGATGTCTTGAGTTGGATACATAAGTTGACTGTTTTGAGTAAGTGGTTGAGTCAAGTCTAGGTTGGTTGGTGAACAGAAGGGAGACTCTTCCTTTACTCGATTTGCTGCACTCGAATTTCCTTTGTGGTGGTTGTCAAGGTTGTTATTGAGGTTGTTCATGTATTGATGTTGGAAAACCAGTACGATTCACGTGTTCTGTGCCTTTATGACTTGTCCCCAATGTTGGTTGATTGAAATATGTAAGCTTACCTGGTGTCTGACTTGGTTTGCTTGGGGACAAGCAAACGGTTAAGTGTGGGGGAGTTTGATAGACCGTTATTTACACATGTTTTTACCCCCGTTCTTACATCGTTTGAAGTGTTGATTCTCGTGTTTTAGGCCGATTTCACGCTAGGTTGTGCTTGTTTGTGATATTTCAGGTCCTAGTACGTGAATGAAGGCTTGGGAGTGAGTCTGGGGTTGATTGGACGAAGACCGAACGAATGGCGAGGCTTCAAGGAATCCGCACGGGCAGACCTGGAGGTCACACGGCTGTGCAAGGGGCAACCCTGGCCGTGTGATTTCCAGCGAGAGCAAACACGGGCAGACTGGGATCCTCACACGGCCGTGCAATCCTGGCCATGTGAGATGGCTGAAGATCGACTAATTGATGCGCTGCGTTTCGACTCGCACGGGCAAAGTGGTGAGCCGCATGGCCGTGTGGCCTGCCCGTGTGAGTCGGGAAATTCTGGTTTTTGAGCCAATTTCGAGCCTAAAGTGAAGAATCGGATTTTCAGAGCAAAAACAGAGCCCTAGAGAGAGAAAATGCGAAGAACACATCCTAGAAGCTATCTTGGAGCTGGGTTTCACCGAATCGAGCTTGGAGATCGTCATAGGAGTGGAAATCATCATCCCGGAGCAGATTTTGCTCATCATTATGAGTATGAGTACATCGATTACTGTTTTCTCTTCTCTCTCTATGGAGTAGAACTCTTCTCTCACTTGGGTATGAAGAACCCTAGTTCCTTGTGTTAGGGATTTGATTGTAATAACTTGGGATGATATTACTTTTTGATTTTAATCGAATGATGCATGTTTATTGAATTGATTGGAGTCTGATCAGCTTTTCTCGATTTCTGCTGCAACCTGAGATAGATAGAATCTGATTAGGTTGTTAGAGCCTCTTCATTCGATAGTAGGAGATTGGCTATACGAGAGTTAGCCAGTTTACCTCTTTGTACTGGAATTCAATTCCAGTAGTGGAGTTCTGTGTTCATAGCCTCAGCTTTCTATCCCGGTGAAGACTAGTCGTCTGCCGGGTAGTTAGACTGAGAGGGCTTGGTCAGCTTAAGAGATTCCAAGCTACTGTCGGAACTTCCGCAGTCTAATCAACAGTGAATCAACCCAGGGGAATTACAATTGTACCTAACTAAGGGGCTAGGGGGACTCAATCCCGAGTGACTCTTTCCTGACTTTGAAAACCGAATTATTACTTGCTTTCTTACTGCTTTAGCTTTAAACAACAATCACTCGAATTAGTTTGCTAGATAACAGAGAATCACGGAGTAAGCAGTAGATCTAGACCCCGGGTTGATAATATAACTTGCCTGTTACTGCATTCCCGGACTGCGATTACACTTGGTCGCAGTTTGGTGTTGTGTTTTGGCGTGCCAGTTTCAGTTCATTGTTTTTGTTGTGTTTAGATCTTTACTTCATGTTGTATGCATTTGCAGGTCTTCCTGTGCTTTGGAAATTCTATAGCCTCTACCCGGTTTCTGTTGCAAGATGAATTCAACATTCAGACAACACAGTGCGACAACTGCATTATTGTACTGTCTCTCTTTTGCTCTCCCTTCCCCCCTCATTCATTAGCACTTTCAGTTGGTAAATCATGGTATTCATGTGGGTTCTCCCCTTCTATCTGGGCTTCATGTTCTGCCTCCAACAAATTGCGTGCATATTCTCCATAGTTGCAATGATCGTTGGAAGTGAAGAGATATCAGAGGCTTCCCAATTGCTATCTTGTTTATCTGATATGGTCTATTGCACGTAAGCATCTGCAATTGTTTTTTTCACTCATTCCTATTTCCATTCCGACGTGAATCTTCTCATCAACTTATCTATCATTCGTCGTCCTCTTTTTTTCTTTACTGCATTTAGGGTCTGTGCTTGTATGAAGACGCAACACAAGATCGAAATGGACAAACGAGATGGCAAGTTTGGTCCACAACCAATGTTAGTGCCGCCGATGCAACAGATGTCACGCTTGGACCAACAAGTCCCTCCCTCTGTTGGGTATCCACCTCAACCAGGGTACGGCTACCCACCTTCTCAGGCTCAGGGATACCCTCCAGCAGGGTACCCTCCATCAAACTACCCCCATCTGGCTACCCACCAAAGTGATACATTTGATCCCCTCCTCCACGGTCGCCATTGTTGATATCTGAATCGTAGAACACGGCTATGTGGCTTGGTTATATATACGTACATATGTGCATCGAGTTGTGTCGAAACGGGACTTTCTTTTACCTATCTCTTGGAAGGAACTTACCTAAGCTTGGAACTTTGGCTGTTCATGTGATGGCTGGAAGAGTTTGATTGATGGCATTGATTCTTGACATGTGGGTTTTTTTTAACATTTTTATGTGCAGTAGTGCCATGTACCGATGGAGTAAAATAGGCTAAATTGCAAGTTTGGTCGCCAGAATTACTTGAAAATTTCACGTTTGCCACTAAAATTAGTTTATTCCATCCTTAGTCACTTAAATTAGGTTAACAGTTCATGTTTGGTCACTGACCGTTAATCTCCGTTAACTTTTGCTGATGTGGCGGTCAACTCTTATATTTGACCGTTAAATGAGTGAAGTGGCAATTAAAAAATAATAAAATTAATTATTTTTATTTTTCACCTAATTATCATAAAATTTAAAAAAGAAAATCACAGCTCGTTTAATTATTATTTTCCACAGCTAGTCGCCATTCCTCTCTCTCCTCTTCTTCAAGCACCCTGAACAGCTTCAGACCGCCACCGCCGATGTCGTAATCGTCGCATTCCTCAGATTTCCTGTTTTCATCGTCATCATCTTGGCGCCCGCCGTCTGCCGCCAACGCAACTTCATCGCTGCTGGACCAGGAGCAAGCTTCCCCTTGCCGCATGATGCGGTGGATCTACTCCAGCCCGACCGTGACGTAACCCGTCAGGAAGGCAATCAACTCGACGCACTGCTTCTTCGCCTGCTCACCAGCTCCGAGCTCAGCAGCTCGTTGTCCTTCTTCAGCTTCTCGTTCTCACCAGACAACTCCGCGAATTGCATCGTCGTCGTCTTCAGCTTATCGTTGACCTAGCCACTAGGGTTCTGCACTTATGCTTGCAGTATTTATCTGTCTTTGGACTGCAATCTGTCAGCCCAAAAGTTATTGTAATTGGGCTTTACAACCCTGGGCGGGCTTCAGTTGTTGGCTTGTTGCAGACCAGCAAAGCTAATTGCTTACTGTGCCCACCGGTGGGAAGAGTCCTTTAGGGCCCAATGTATTCAAAGATCAAAGAGAGAATGAGAGCTTATGTAGTAAGTAGTAACCCAACTGATTTTATAATAAATGAAAAGAAATAAACAATGGAAGAAAATAATAAATTATTGTATTTATTATCCTCTATGACTTCCATATTCAATTATATCAAATGCAAGCTTGCATCTTTACAGGTGTCTACTACATTGGTGCAATTCTCTTTGTCATTGCATATTGAGTGCCATATAGGATTTGTAACTGACCAAATACTATTAATGCAGATCTTTGAAGATATGTCATATAGGATTTGTAATTGACCAAATACAATAAATGCAAATCTCTGAAATTTTGTAGAAAAAATTTATGCATGATCGGTTAGGTTCAAATTGGATAACATAATAACCATTAATACCCAATACTCTTAATATTCGAGTTTGAGTTTTATCCATATCAATGAATAATTTGTTTAGTTTAGATTTTACCCTATCTTATCCCACTGAATTCAGGCATTGGTGGATTTTTTTTGCAACCCCTGAATGAACAAAACTGTTTGTGGCTAACTGGGTGTAGGAGAGAGATACGTGAGGTTTGGGGCGTGAGTAAATGAACGATCTTATTAACTGTTTCACAACGGTGAATTATTACAAAGTGATAAAGCGAGTTCTAGAGAGTGAATGTCTAAAAAAGACCGATCCCCTTACCCATCGGAGTAAATCTCTATTTATAGATTTTATTTCAGTGGATGGGCTTTAAATGCAATGTAACGTCTAGGTAAGTGGGAGAGGGATGAGCTCTGACCATGCCTGTCTCGAGACGTGACCCCTTGTCAGCAATACGACATCGTCCCACTTTCTTTGATAGAACCAAGATTCAGTTCTATCTAGGGATTAGGGGTATTAGGGATCAATGGGGTTTGATCTCCTTGGTTTATTAAGAAAGGGAACGAGGAAGAGGATTTTATAAAGAAAGAGATAAGGAAAGGTGGTTGTGGCAACAACCTTGAGAGAGGGGGAAGAGTTCAGCAATGAGAGGGAGGAAGGAAGGGAGATTAGGGTTGATTGTTATTTGTAATTGCTTAATGAGAATCCCCCCACTAATTACAGAATATATAACCCGGAAAATAATCCTCTTATACCCCGCTAATACGACCTAATAAAATATTCACTAATTATTCCAAAAATTATCCAAATAATCCCTCAACGACCCCGAAACATGAATAAATGATAAATAATCCCAAATAACAAAACAAGCAAAGAATAATATTTTTATCATCCCTCCCCACTTCGAAACAACCTTTACCTCAAGGTTACCCCGATTCATCCTTCTGCTCCTCACGCTCCATTGAAGCCCATTCCTCGGCCTCGTCATCTAGCGTCCCACGAGCATCGTCAGTTCCGGTTTAGCACACTTATGACCAAAGGTGAACCTCTCCTCACAACTGAAGCACTTCCCTTCCTACATCCTCTAGTCAATGTCTGCAGGAGATAACTTGATGAACCCTTTCAAAATCGCTCGAGGTCCTGGCTGAGTCACTATTGATGCCGTCGCGAGCTCCATTATGCCCCCTACCCCTGAGACACCCGCAGCCCTACCACTAGCTCCTCCACTGGTCTTCTGGAAGCGCCCTCTGGTACTCCGCCAGCTAGCAATCTCCTCCTTACGCTATGCAATGCGAAAGACATTCCTCAAAGAGTCAGGCTTAATACCTTCATTGCTGCTGCAATCTCTGATCGCAGGCCCTCCATAAACATGCCCACCAAGGTCTCTTCCGACACCCCCTTGCACATGTTTTTTAGATCGAGGAACTCTGCTCGATAGTCGGCCAATGTCCCAGTCTGTCTAAGCTTTGCCAGCTGTTCGAGAGCCCACCCCTTTGAGTTCCCGAACTGATAACGTAGCTCATTCTGTAAACGAGGCCATGTAATCGGGATCTCTGCCTCCGCATACGATCGCTCCATCCCTTCCTACCACTATAGTGCATCTCCCTCCAAATAGAACGACGCCAACTGCCCCTTCCTCTCCTCCGGGACCGGGTGGTTTCTGAACCATCGATCAGCTGCATACAACCATAAGCCAGCGTCCTCACGACCATTGAATTTGGGAAACTCAATGATCGGAGGTTTGGCCCTAAACACAAGCTCATTACCACATTCATAATTATAACCATAACCGCCATACCTTCCAATGTCATGACTGTCGATGCGTGGATTGGTGTAACGGGGTACCTCTGGTTTGGGCACCCAGGCTTCCTCTCTGGCCGCCATACCTTGACCATAGCCTCCCAAGTGAAACCAGCGGCCTTAACCTCCAGCACTCCCAACTTCTGTAGGGACGCTCAGCCAGTCGGGGAGTCACGAAAGGAGGGTACCACCCCGCGAGTCCCGCTACCACCACCGCCTCCTGCCGTGGTGGAACAGGTGCTCTGTCCGGGTCGGGTTCAGGTTGAACCGGATCGAGCCGGCTTGTTTTGGCTCCACTTTATCCTGACCCGACCCGACTATTCCGTCCATCGGGCCCTGGTTACTCTGCATTGTCTACCCGAACTCGTGCCCGTGATGAACTACTGCTGCCCACATTCCTACTTGATTAGCCAGGCTTAGCTTGTCGCTCTCCTAGTGACTATCTTGGCCCAACCAGCTCGATCCCTATTGGCCCACTCCTCGCATGTGCTCCGCACCCACCATATCCAGGCCAAACGACTCGTTGTGGATCATATTGTCATACCCGACTATCTTGGCCTTTCCCCTCCTAGCCGCCAACTCCTGGGCCGACGGGTTGGGTAAAAATCTCGACCCATCATAGCCTGATCACTTGAATCCGTGCATGTTATTGTCAGTGGTTTGCACGTATCAACAACTATCTCATCCTAAGTCTAGTTTAACATAGGACGACATTGTTGTAAAGTGGTAATCAAGGTCGTATTCTACTCGGGTCCTGATACTCTAGCCTACTTCCCACCTTGTTGTTAATTAGGTAATCGTTTTTTGAGGTTTTGAGTGAAGGATATGAGGAAATACTAGTCTAGAGGTTGATCAAAACTAAAAGCAGGTACTTCGGGGAACTAATCCTCCCCCTAGCTTAAGGATACTATGCATGTATAGATGCTTAGGGTTATCGAATGTGGTGAGTGATCTCTTTTCCATGGGCCTTTGTCGTTATCCACACACCTCCAAATACGCCTCACCTAAACCCCATGTTTCAATCACCTCGATCTAGGCTATCGTATCTGGGGATTAAGCTTATGGCTCATTTCAATGGACACTATCCACCGTTCACATCGAGGTTTCATCCCATATTTCATCTAGGAATGCTACTTATAGCAGGGGTTCGGTCGCCTCGACCACTATAGGCCCCGATTCACTCATCTAACCTAAACTCACCAGATGGCGCATACCCGTCTAACTCTAGAACTCCGTACCTAGCGCGGTAGCATAAAGCAGGCTAATAGGGAAGATTGGGGCCAGTTGCCCAAGATTCATCATTTAAGAAAGAGTGACATTAAGAATCTAGTAGACAAACACATTCATTCATTCAAATCCTAAAATATCCATACATACATAATAAACCCTAAAACTAGGATTTGGGGATTAGAACCCCTATTAACTTACAGGACTACTCCATAAAGGAGGGAAGAAGAAACATGATAGAAATAGAAGAAGATTTGAAGTTGGCAAGATCCTCCTTGCTACTAGATCCTCCTTCTTCTGCTTCTATTCTCCTTCATTCAGCTTCTCTCTCTTCTCTCCCTCTAGAACCAGAAATTTCACCCAAAATAAGCTCTCTTAGAATGGGGAAAGGGGTCTTCTATTTATAGGCATTCTGGACTAGAGGAAGTTCGCTGCCTGAGGCTGGGAGATTGCGGGCGGGATCTTCTGAGGATAGGCAGCGATCTCAAGATGATGTCGTAATGGCCTTCTAAAGGGGGAAGATAAC